GGGTGTTAGAGTGTGAAATAAACACCGACTACGTGAAGACTGTATCCACTTATGTTTTCGGGTTATCACCTGGATACGCCCCACTCGTTTCACTTGTGATTCTAAAATAGAAACTTAAGAAACATTTTCCACGCTTTTTTGACGTTACGGCGCCAATAGTGCTGCTAGATCCCTATATTGTGGACCATCGGTGGGCGATGTCGTCAGTATCACGCCGACCGCCTTTACTTCCCATTAGTTTACCTGCTGTGACTCTCTCCACTGTCTAAAATCTAGGTTTTTCTTGAAGTGGCCAAAGACAGAGTGGATGGGGCTTCTTTTTAAAAGCATGACGGAGAAGGATACTGAGGTGAGCTTGGCCACGACCGGCGCCAGCTAAAGGGCCGTACTGCCGACGTCACTGTTTTGGGCTAATGATGAGTTAAAACAGCGGTTCTCAAACAAGAAATAATCTATTTTTAATTGTGGCGAGGGAAAACAACTTAAATTTTAACTTGTAGGTACCTACATGACTTCTTTATTAACGTATCACAATTTAGCTGACTTTTCTTGATTATTGCCGCGGCACACCTGGCATACGCTCACGGCTCCCTAGGGTGCCTCGGCACCCAGTTTGAGATCCACGGTGTTAACGCATCGTTAGCCCTACCCGGTGACGTCAGCAGCACGGCCCGTCAGCTGGAACCGGTCGTGGTTTGGCATACAGCATTACCACATCCAGCATGAGAATGAAGGTTGTGGTGGTGACTGTTACGTTCCGATGGGTGAAGAAAATCCCAGGATGTTATCACATCAGGTCGCACAAAATACTTAAAAAGTTAGTTGCGTATCCTTTACAGGACGTTGCAGAACCAACCCTAACAGCCTCTGGCTGTTGTGTAGTTTCTCTAGGCAATATACGTCCAGTAGTTTGCCATTGCTTCCTGGACGGTCGGCATTCTTGATACCACTGTCGAAACCAACGCAAGGCGCAGTGCCCGCAGCTGGGATCGAACCTGGCATCCCGGCATTACGAAGCGGAGCGTTCGCATCGACTTAGCCACAGAGCCGACACAAAATACTTAGGGACGTGTAATAGGGTTTTCTTCATTTTTAAATGGGACACAACAATCCAGAAATCGTAGGCGTATATTTTGTCGAGGTCATGTAGGCATGTTGGACGATGAGACCACAAACAGGCTGGCTGGACTGGACCCACTAGGGGGGTATGCTGGAACTCCACAAGGCAGAAGTGGTCTCTCACCTGTAGAACGAGGTAACAATTAAAATGGAACGTAACTGAAAACCGGTACCCGGAGATAACGATGCAGCGGCGAGTGTTTGCGGGTTCTGGGCGCCTCTCGAGAGACTAGATGAAATGCAAGACGAGCAGTAAACCAGATGACTACAGCAACGATCTGTTTGGAAACTAAATGTTGACTGCTTAGAATTGAGACATCGCTAATTAAGGCTTGTCCTAAATGCAATGATGTAATGAAGAACCTTTATCCAAAAGACCGCTTTATTTTCCAGTCTTCAGCCATGTGCATTTTTTTTTTCCTTTTCAAGTCCTCAATTGTCAATACATTATTATTTTTTTTTTCAAGATTTCCTTGCATGAAACCCTTTAGATATTATTGTAATGGATTTAGTTCTGGAGAACGAGCAGGCCAAATTCCACCTAGCATTGTGCCATTAGTTCAACAACAACAACCTTAATAAAAGCAGCAAAAAATAATTTCTTTTTTTTTTATTTTAATATCATTATTCGGTTTTGAGTGCAAAGAATTACTCCAGTAGACGACAACCATTCACTTCATATTGCTTCACGATTGACGGTGGAGCATATTGTGTTAAAACATGATGTACATCATCTTGTGTAACAGGTCCTTCGCAGAACGTCGCTGTCATCACAGTCTGACTGAAAGAAACTCGGTCTCTCGTCAGCTCACCCTATTCGTGCACTTTCATATTCAAGGAGTCACTTATATCCTGTGGCCATCTTTTCGTTGATCGGCCCCTACCCCTCTTTCCTGGTACCATGCTTTTGTTATCATTTACTTTTCTAATCCGCTATGGTGCTTGAGATGACTAAAATATTTCAGCTTTTAAAGTCTTGTACTTCATTTTGATTAATTTTTTTTTTTTTAAATACAAATTGTAATGCGACTTTACAAACACCCTCTATGTGTAACCACGATTAATCTTATAAAATTAACCCCAGCAGCTAACATAATGAACTACACTGGGCCAAAATGAATGCCTATTATCACCGCACTTCCACGAAATACAAAGAGGCTGGTAGATCGATAGCTTACGAAATAATGCTGAACGGAGCTTATTGTGGAGATCATTCTCTACTGGTTACGTGGGGAATGAATCAATTACGTAGATTGCTTTTCTTATCTGAATCTTTCTAGGGAGCCAGTTGTACATGATTCATCAAACAAAATGCACCAGGAGACAAAATGATTGTCCTATTTCCGGAAAACTGAACCTAGTCTATAACATGCACCTGAAAAAGAGCAAAACCAGCTGTATTAACAGTACAATGTGTAACAGTCCTATTGGAGAGTCAGGGGAGGCAATATCATATGAAGCTTGGATGTTTATTGTTATGTACCAGTCGGTACTAGATGGGTGATATGATCCTCACGCGGACTGCCTTTTCTTCCCAGGACATTGAAGTGCTCGAAAACAACTTATCACAAACATTTTATGGAGCCACTCATCACTTTATGGTGCTGCTATGAGAAGAGGTCAACTGAAACATGTTGTGACCAGTGGAAAGATCTGTCGAAAGAGAGAGAGAGAGAGAGAGAACCAACGAACGAACTAACAAACGAACGAACGAACAAACTTTATTTTAAAAGGGTTACAAATTGGGTACGCAGGCCCGTCTGACATTCTGATCTTCTAAGCACTCATTTTTCAGAGTACCACTGCCTGTTATCAATAATTAATTGTATAGATATAATATAGAAATATAAATGATAGAATAATGCATACACACATCACTTGCGTACACACTCACACACACCTATACATACTCCTACGTTTTCATACATGCACAATCATATACAGACAGACATAATACATACACACATGCATCTACATACATACACAAACATAAAACACATACACATACACAGACATAAATGCACAAACAGAAAACACACACACATTATAGAGAGAGATGGGAAGAAAGAGCAAGAAGAATTCTAACAGTCGTTTGTCATGGCCAGTCGGTAACGCAATAAATGATGATGAAGATGATGATGATGATGATGATGATGATGATGATGATGATGATGATGATGATGATGATGATGGTGGTGATGATGATGATGATGATAAAGATGATGAAGATGATGAAGATGATGAAGATGATGATCTACGCACAAAGGGCTTGAGCATTGACTAGAGAAAGAGAGACGTTCAGGCGCACCGTGAAGAGAGCGACGTTCTGTAAATGACAAGCCCAAAGATTGAATCACATACATTTATGCAACAAATGGTGCCAATTTAGTGGTCAGTTACGACTTATGTCTAAAGTCTATAGCTAGCCGTTCGAACTGCCTGACAGCACTCATACGACATCAGATGGTGTTTGTTAAAGTAAGAACTCTACACCACTTTCAGACGTGTTGAATATAATGTTCGAGCCCTACATCATCATCATTATCATAACCACTTATGTCGTTGAGCGACGTGGGGAGGAATAATTTGCGATCCAGTGCACGTTGGCTGCTACTAGCTATTGTCATGCCGTAAAGGCGTAGAGTGTCTTTAATCTTGTCGATACATGTTTTCCGCGGCCGTCCTCTTGCTCTTGTAGTTGATCTTCTGAGATGTACTGCTTGTGATGGTATTTGATTTTGCTGCATTCTAAAGAGACGACCAAACTACTTGATCTGCTGTTTCTCGATGAATCTATTACAAGGTATCATTCCCACAGTGTGCCTGATAGTTTCATTCTTCACTCGATCTTGGATGATTAGGTTGGCTGTTTTTCTCAGGCATCTCATCTCGCAGGTTGTATTTTGCGTATATGGGCTTTAGATAGTGTCCATGTTTGGCACTGGTAACCGAATGTTGGAATGAATATGCTGGTAATAATCTGTCTTTATGCACTCATAGTCAGTCGAGCCCTGCAACACATCAAATGGTTCATCTTCGTAACAAGATTGGAATCCGACAGGGCATCACAGAGAGAAATGTTATACAGATACACATGTAGCAGTTCCAGAGGTCGACCACGCAGAAATATCATAAACACTGAATAGTTCTTTATATTGACACTGTTGTATGCGCCAGGCAAAATGGCTTAGCAGTACATGCCACCAAAAGCCCTGAAAAGAACTCCTGCAGCGTTGATGCGATCAAAGGAGACTGACCCACATACTCTCCTGGAGTCGTCTACCTGCGAGCCAATGGGCGGCCCGCTTGCTGATGATTAGTTTCAGCGGCGGCGCGCTATCGTCGTCTGAGACGAGGGGGGGGGGAGGGGTGGATTGGGAGGGAGGATGGAGGGAAAAGGTGAGGGGATGACGGGGGAAAAAAGGCGGTGGGGTGGGGGATGAAACAGATTCCATCACTGGTGTGATAACTGTAGCTTTCTAATTTTATGTTGTCTAGCGTGTCCTCTACTTCTGTCATCTATATCTATGGGTCTCAATAACATTACAGTTTGTACATCATCATCGTCGTCATCATTATCGTCGTGTGGTGAGTTTATGTCACACATAGGAATCGCTATATATTTATCCATTCTCTTCTATAGTGTTATTGTTTGTCTTGTTTAGTCAGAGACATGTCTACCGACTTTGACAAACGACATGTTCTTTCTATGTTCCCTTCTGTAAGGTTATCGTTTGTCTTGTTCTGTCAGAGACATGCCTACCGACTTTGACAAACGACATGTTCTTTTGATGTTCTCTTCTATAGTGTTGTCATTTGTCTTATTTTGTCAGAGACATATCCACCGACTTTGACAAAAGACATATTCTTTCCCTCACCAGGTCATCAAAATGCTGGTAATTGTGGTGATTATGTTCGGTGTCTGCTGGCTGCCGCTGCACACGTTTTTCCTTGTGCTGGACTTCAACCCGGGACTCACGGCCAACGCCTCCAAAGCCAACCAACAACTGTTTACCATGATCTACTGCGCCGCCTTCTGGTTGGCCATGTTCAATTCCTGCGCCAACCCGATTATCTACGGCTTCACGAATGATAGTTTTAGGGTAAGTGCTGGCATGTGTTCGCTGTCTGTATCTTGTCGTCTTGAGGGTCTTTCAGAACCTGAGGCTGTTGCTTCGGATGTTGCTCACGAGTCACAGGGAGAGAGAGAGAGGGAGAGAGAGTTCCATTAAACTGTGGGATGATGGTGAATGAGGCTTGTGAGCTTTGTTAGTTTTTCTCTCCCCTCTCTCTCTCTGACTCTCTTTCTTTCTTTCTTTCTCACTTTCTCACTTATTTTAAATAGTGAAGTAATTTTTTTTTAAACACACATTAAAAATAGCTAAGTTGAGTTCAGTTGAGTTGAGTTGATTCAAGAACCGTCATCACAGCACTTAGGGCATTATCATAAGCGCTCCGTCCCCATGTTCAGCAGCCAGTGCAGAGTTCCGATACTAATGGTGTCACTAGCATTCTGATAAATCGTCTTGCCTTTACTCTTAGTCTCGAGCATCTGCCATAAGCCGCTGATCACAGCACTTAGGGCATTCCCATAATCGCTCCGTCCTCATGTTCAACAGCCAGTGCAAAGTTCCGATACTAATGGTGTCAGTAGCATTCTGATAAAGCGTCTTGCCTTTCCTCTTAGTCTCGAGCATCTGCCATAAGCCGCTGCATCAGTCTCACCAGAATGCAGTGATCCATCTGCTCCTTTGAACTGTACACACTCTCCCACAGTGCATCAACAACGTCTGTTACACGCATCAGCATTCCACCAAGTTGAGCAGAGCCAGCTAGTCTGTCCGTCTGTTCATTTCCCAACAAACCGGCTTGTCCCAGTGAAAAAAATCCAGACATTACTCCTCACCCGTGTCCCCCGCACTGACGCATGCCACTCTGCACGAAGCATGCCTGTCCTGATCATTTTCAGCATGCTTTCTGAGTCAGTTAAAATCACGATGTGTGTGATTGTCGTGTAGCTAAATAAGTGACTAACTGAAGCCGCCCATTTAAGGCTGGGTGGACTTTGTAGCTAAAGTAATCGTTGAAAATAGTTCAGATCCGTTAGGACGTGAGTAGGCAAGCGACGAACCGCTAAACACCCCACTTTTACTTTTTCTTCTCCTTAAGAATTTCAAATTATTGAGGTTTACTGCTGCGATCACACGCCTCTACTCATCTCTCTAGTTGGCCTTCTCTTTCCAGTTGGTAACACCACATCTCTCTAGTTGGCCTTTTCTTTCCAGTTGGCAACACCACATCTCTCTAGTTGGCCTTCTCTTTCCAGTTGGCAACACCACATCTCTCTAGTTGGCCTTCTCTTTCCAGTTGGTAACACCACATCTCTCTAGTTGGCCTTCTCTTTCCAGTTGGTAACACCACATCTCTCTAGTTGGCCTTCTCTTTCCAGTTGGTAACACCACATCTCTCTAGTTGGCCTTCTCTTTCCAGTTGGCAACACCACATCTCTCTAGTTGGCCTTCTCTTTCCAGTTGGCAACACCACATCTCTCTAGTTGGCCTTCTCTTTCCAGTTGGTAACACCACATCTCTCTAGTTGGCCTTCTCTTTCCAGTTGGTAACACCACATCTCTCTAGTTGGCCTTCTCTTTCCAGTTGGTAACACCACATCTCTCTAGTTGGCCTTCTCTTTCCAGTTGGTAACACCACATCTCTCTAGTTGGCCTTCTCTTTCCAGTTGGTAACAACAAGTGTTTAAACACACCACTGGGAAGACATGTTATTGACACCTCCAATGTAAACTCCGTGTGTGTGCGTTCGCGCGTGCGCGTCTATGTGTGTTTTGACTTTATGTATTTTTGTTTTCATAGTCTGTTTTCAAACTGCAATCTTTAACTGACATCTTAAAACAGCAAACGATCGATAGATAACTGCCACAACATAAGAAAGAAGATGGGTAGGGCATTATTTTGACGAGGCAACCAAGAGGTGCTCTGTACAGATTGGGTAATAAAGGGAGCTGATAGAGCCATGGGAGTGGCGGCAAAATGGATAATGTGAAAAGCAACTGGCAAATATGACAATTTTGTCGGAAACCTTTGACTTTCTTAGCTACAGGACTTAAAATAGCCAGTCTGGAAGACTAAAACCCGACAATCATTGGGACATTTGGCAGTCTCTCGCTTTGTCTGTTCGTCTTTTCCATCTGTTTCTCGCCCCCTCTCCAACCTCTGTCTGTCTGTCTGTCTGTCTGTCTGTCTGTCTGTCTGTCTGTCTGTCTGTCTGTCTGTCTGTCTGTCTGTCTGTCTGTCTGTCTGTCTGTCTGTCTGTCTGTCTGTCTGTCTGTCTGTCTGTCTGTCTGTCTGTCTGTCTGTCTGTCTGTCTGTCTGTCTGTCCGCCTCTCTCTCTCTCTCTCTGTAAGTATGCCTCGATATGCTTCTGCTTCCCCCTTTCTGTCTCTATCGAGCTTCACACACATACTCGCAAACACAGGCATACAGACATTCATAAACACATACGCATAAGTACATATGCAAGCACAGCCCTACATGTACATGTATACACTCATACATACTCAGATCACGCCCATGGCTAATCAAAAATACACATACCCATATTTACGTGTAGAGATCCACACATACAAATAAGCAGCCTTCATTTGAAACTTGCACTAACATGAAACGAACTTCAACACATGTGAAAGAAATAAACAAAGTATTCATTTTCAATGAATTATGCACCATAGGTTGGGTCATAAAAAGTCTCCGGACGTATTCAGGCAAGCTTTCCTTTTCTTGGGTGAGGTGAATACCCTCCGCAAAAAAAAAAAGGATTGTGGCTGCTCGATGAACCAAGTGATGACAGCGCTGAGTACGTCTGCATCTGCGTGAAATCGTAGCCCTCTGAATGCTGTTTTTAGACGTCTGAACAAATCAAACTCACACTGCGATAAATCGTGACTCTAGGCTGGGTGTTGCAGAATCTCCCAATTCTGTCGTGCTTATGCTTCCTGGACAGTCTTTTCAGCCTACGGACCAGCTTTTTTTTTTTTGCAACAAATCACAGCCCAAGAAAGCATGCTGGGAAGTTTAGTCTTGATAGCTATATGCCAATGTTTCCTAGCCCTTTTTGTTTGTATAGGTATGTTTGTGTGTTTGTGTGTGTGTGTGTTTGTGTGTTTGTGTGTGTGTGTGTGTGTGTGTGTCATGCCTTGCCTAAGTCTTTCTAAAATTCGTATGCCTCCTAAATAACATCGGCAAACAGTAAACTTAAACTTATACTCCGGATGAGTTCATTTCAGAATTTCCCCCCCCCCTCCTCTCCCCCCATAATAATCAAATTACCCTCTGTGTGTCGTAAGCCCCACCCTCGGAAACACTGTTTTATGCAGCTGGTCTAGTGTTCACAAGCAGTCGACAGTGTTGATGTCGACATCAGGTTAGGTTATTTTTACCTTGGTCTCCCCATTGGCACACCGCCAGTTGTAGGTCAACTCTCTTAGGGGTTTGTGTGTTAGACCCAGTATCTAATTGTTTTACAAGTGTTGACAGCTCTGGTAGGGTGAAATATGCAACATTCGGTATGAGCGCGAGTGCGGATTATCTCCGTGACCTTGTGTGAAAGTCGGATCATTCAAGGCCAACCTATCAGAAGTGAGGTGGTCAGTAGGTTATCAAATCAAAAGTGAGCTAGTGTGTAGCGGTGTGCAAATGGGGAGACCAGCGTAAAATTTACCCCAGCTTCTTTAAAGTTTGCAAACAATAACCCTTCATGGTTAGAAAAAGAACATGCTTACCAGCGGGCACCATTAACTTGATAACATCCCCCCCCCCCCCGCCACCCACTTCTGGGGTTCGAGAAGGCTTCTATTGCACGCTCACTATCTCTCTCTCTCTCTCTCTCTCTCTCTCTCTCTCTTTCTCTTTCTCTCTCTCTCTCTCTCTCACACTCTTTTTGTTGTTGTTGTTGTTGTTGTTGTTGTTGCTCTGCTCAAAGTATTAACGTCGTGATTTTTCAGCTACCATTACGCAGAAGATAAATAAATCACTCCAACACCTTTTCCCCTCTTTTTTGCTAACCCATTAGTTGTTGAAACACTCTCTCATGTGCCTTCTTTTGGTACCCACTGTAAAGACAGCTTCTGATAAAAAAAATTCCTACCAACAACCTTCAGAACTGTCCCAAGTGACGTATCGAATTCTTCGGCTAGCGAACCTTTGGTAACAGTTCACCAGCAACGAGCGTCAATAGATTCTTTGGTCAGCACCACGATAATCCCCCCCCTCCTTTTCCAGCCGAACTAGGTCGCGTTCCATTGATATATTTTTAAGACTTGTCCGCTGTTCGGGGGATCTGTCTTGTCTTTCATTTACGTCCCCCCTCCCCCCCCCCCCCCCCCCGCCCCCCCCCCAAAAAAAAAACACATCATGAGCCATGATGTTTGATCCGTTGTTCAAACCTGAAACCTCAATTGTAATATATAAACAGTGTTTTCTATCTTGTTCTATTTTTCCATCAATGACGTGTACGTAATTACATCTTTCCCTTCATCCTCAGCACGACTTGGCATCCCTCTGTTACCTGGGATTCCCCTTCTGTGTTTGCCTCAGACACGTCGCCAACAGACGGCTCAGTGTGTCCACGTTTGACTCCGTCAACTGCAAGAGATTCACCAACAGGAAAAGCCTGGGTGCCTCTGCTTCTCGTCAAGGTGGATACAGAAACGGCTGCAGGGTTTATCTAGAACTCAAGAAAGATTCCTTCCGTGAGCGAAAGAATATAAACATCAATGAGTTTTATAATCAGAATTCGGAAGCTGAGGACAGTCCGAACGACACTTTGGACGGAAAGATAATTTTTCAGAATCAGAGCAATGGCCATGAGCAAAAAAACAGACGTCATCAAAACAGTCAACATAATCATGATCATCACCATCCGCCTTGTTATATAACAGAAAGTGAGGACAGTACAATTGCCTTAACCTCGCCTACAATCAACGGTTGCGAGAAGACTTCATCTCTGCCGTCTCCCTGTAGAAAGACATCGTCGCCGACCTCAGCTGGACCATTCGGGATTTTCCGAAGAAGATCAGAAGATCGGAACTG